AAGAAGAAAAGGAAGGAAGAATATATCTATATAATAAGAATTGTCTGAGAATTAAACCAGACAATGCAACCATGCTGTTCTGGAGGAGGGGCTGTCTGGTTCATCGGTGTCAATCCCACTCTCGTAGATACACAGTTACCAGGTGCGGAGGGACGTGGTTTGTTGTAGGCGGGTCCTGCCTCTACTGTGGGCCTGCTGTCATTCCCTGGAGGTTCCCCACCTGTGGCCCATTAGGTTGTCCAGGTGGGTCCCTGGAAACAATCTGCCTCTTTTCCTCCCAGACTCTTGGGTTTCAAAATTCTTTGGTATCAACATGGCTTTGTTTGAAAGACATGGGAACTTTGGATCCCCCTACTTCTCCTCCATGTTGGCCCCTTCCTTCAACCCCTCACTTCTGAGGAACAGCTGCTCAGATCCTCTGGGGGAGGGTCTAACTGAGCAATGACCAGGTGCCAGCCTGCCCCCAGGAACATTGGTAGACTGCGCTGCTGCTGGTACCCAGAGACTGCGACTGGGTGCCAGCCCACCCCAGAAAAAAGTTCGTGTGATTTTGTAACAGCAGCATTTCAGGCGTTATGGAAAATCACAACACCATCTAGTGCCAGGCTTCTTCATTAACCTCCTTATTCCAACACCAGTGAATGTGATTGTTCTCTGGTGTCTGCTGGGACCTTTGCCTGTGGGGTGGCCTCACAGCCTCTACCAAATGTCCTCCCTGCAGGGGAAGTACCACTCCCCAGTGGCCCATGGACCCCTTGGAGCTTGCTCTCTGCTCCTAGGGATTTGCCCTTCCCACCAGAGCATCAACCTTCCCACCGCCAGGTATCAACTTGTGGAGTTTCAGACTGCGCTCCCTGTGTATAGTCTTAATGAAATTTAAACCTTCTCCTTTCTCCTTTATCCCTTTTTTGTTGAGTCCATGTGGCTGTTTCCACTTTTCCCCTTTCTCTCCAGATACTTTTGGGGGGGGGTGCTTTTCCCATACTCTCCCCTCCCCTGTCTCCAACCTCTCTCCACAAGCAAAACCAGCTCCCTGCCCTCTGTGGCTTCTCTCCCTGCTGGTTCACCTCTCCATGCCGTGTACCTGCCAAGTTCTGTGGTTCAGGTTGTACAGATTGCTGTGTTAATCCTCAGATCAGTTTTCTAGGTGTGCCAGATGGTTCATTGTTGATCTGGCTGTGTTTCAGGGTTGAGAGACACAAAAAAAGCTTCCATGCTGTGCCGCCATCTTGGCCTCTCCTCCAAAAGGAGGTTCTTTACTCTGACATTGCTTTGGATGGCTTAGGAGGAATTAGACACAACTGTATTTATGATAGACCGTGTCTTAGTTACCTCAGTGTCCCGTTGCTCCAAAAGCAAAAGTGGTTCAAATGGGTAAAATACTTGGGTTCTTGATGGTCCAATGACTGCTTTTTGTCATGCTAAAAGTTTCTCAGTTGTTGTGTTCTTTTTCATATTCCAAGACTATTTCTGTTCACCAGTTCATTAAAGGATATGATAAGGACATCCAGATAGAAGAGATGCATAGGATGTGGTATAGGGAAGGAATGTGGAGCTTCCTTTCTATCCAGAGATACTCCATTCTCCACAAATCTCCCTGTGTTCCAATTTCTGTCTTTTATGTGTTTTAATAACTTGTTATGTGTCCCACACCTGTGAGTACTACTATATTAAAAAGGGGTCATCCTCTCTCCAGGGCCTAGCACTTCAAGAAGTGTTTTTGGAGTGTGTTGCATGCACTCTGTTGTGTCTTTGGCTATTCTATCCCACTGCTCACAGTGGGGGATTGTTTGGACCTTTCACCAGGTGTGCTTTGATTTTTTCATTGCAGTAACCCTGGAAAAAAGGGAAAAAAGTGTATGTTGGAGGGGAAGACTTATCTGGTACAAAGAGAAAAATGAAAGGGGGGGGAAGAAAAAACAAAAACAAGACAGGGAATCAGGGAAACTATAAGTCTTAATCCAGAGAGTGAGAGAGAGGAAAATAAAGAAGAAGGAGATACAGAAAATGTGTAAAAAGAATAGAATAAAAATGATTTTAAACAAACAACCAGGACAGAGAAAGGGAACAAAAAGGATATATAATAATAGGAATTGACCAAAAATCATATCATAAACTATGAGCTTGATTCCAAATGAAAGAAAAAAAAAAAGGAGGGGGCGGGTAGGAAAAAAAAGGGAAGAGAGAAGAGATGGAAAGAAAAGAGAAAACAACAACAACAACAGACTAACATACAAAATAACTGGACAGTTGTCTGTTGGTGCCTGGAACCGGTGGCTGTGCTCATCTGGAGAAGAGGCCGTATGATTCCATCAGTGTCCATCTCACTCCAGTAGATAAGCAGTTACCAGCATGGAGGGGTGGCATTTGGTGAAGAGGTTCCTGGGCTGACTCCTCTCCTCTGCAGGCACTCGCACATGGTCGGCTCCAGTGTGAAGAAAGCCACGCAACTCTGATAACTCTAATCTGTAGCTCCTAAGGCTGTTTGCAAAGTAGAAACTGGCTTTCTTGGTATCTTTGTATTTTTCATTCCCCAGTCTGTGGTCCAGAGAGGTTTTTCTCTTACCCAAATATAATACCACACTTCTACAGCCTCCCTTCTCTTCCTTTTATTTCTCCACCAACATCATTCCCCCACTCCATTACTATGCTGCTCTTTCTATCTCTCCCAATTCACAAACACGCAACTTGTCCTGCCAAGTTGTCTCTTTCCACCTGTGGAAATTTTTTTGTCACTCTGCAGCCTCTATGCCTGGGTATTCCAAGCGTTCTGACCTCAATACAGCTGTGGGGACAAGGGGAATTCCAGTTCCCCTACTTCTCCACCATCTTAACTCCACTCAAAAAATACAGTTTTATTTTATAGAGATTTAATTTTGGATATACTATATGGACATATTTTAGAGGTACTGTATGCAGGCTTAGATGCTTCCCAATGTGTAGTACATTTTTCTGGGTCTTGGAGTCAAACTAATTGAAAAAGCAAACAAGAATAAGGAAGATAAAAACCAAAACATCGCCTCTAGTAAAAAGCTGATACAGGAGAACACGATTTGTATCAACGGGCAAGTGGCATTTCTAATGGTGAACCGAAGAATTAGATAGGCATTCCCACTCAACAGCCTGAAATGGGGCAGGGCTCTCCCCTAGAGAGGAGCAAAGCCTCTCTAGGAAAACAAACAAACAAACAAACAAACAAACAAACAGAATATTTTATCAGCATGTAAATCATTCACAAGGGAAAGAGGAGTGTGTCCAATATTTCTGTCCAAACATCAAGAAGATGTTATCCACTTTCTCTAGTGAGTGAAGTGGTAGTGTTCTGTAAATGTGAAACCAAAGTGTTCTGTAAATGTAGCTATTCCTCAGGAAAAGAAACAAGTAGAGAAAAACCATCTGCATGCTTTTTGGTATTTTAGAAGGGGAATAAGTATTTTGTATTAAAATCAACAAGTTTAAAGGAAAAAAGAAAAAAGGAAAAGAATATGAAAACATAGCTTCTTAATTACAGTTTCTATCTATATATTTTCATTATTCTTTGCTAGTGACATTTTAATAGAATTTCAGAACTTTCTATAGTGGTTAGCTTTCTTTGGAATTCCTTTGCCTGCCTAATGATTATTTTTGGTCTTCTTTTCCTCCTACCATTATGCATTAAGAAGAGCATTCTGCAATTTTACAATTTTAGGGTCCACAATTCTTCCATTAAAACTTTTTGTTGCTGTTAACTAATCTTAAAAAATAACATGTTTGTTGGGGCGCCTGGGTGGCGCAGTCGGTTAAGCGTCCGACTTCAGCCAGGTCACGATCTCGCGGTCCGTGAGTTCGAGCCCCGCGTCAGGCTCTGGGCTGATGGCTCAGAGCCTGGAGCCTGTTTCCGATTCTGTGTCTCCCTCTCTCTCTGCCCCTCCCCCGTTCATGCTCTGTCTCTCTCTGTCCCAAAAATAAAAAAACGTTAAAAAAAAAATTAAAAAAAAATAACATGTTTGTCATTCAAAGGAGATTCTAATTTCACTACAGTAAATATTAAAAAAAAAAAAAGGCTTACTGAAGAATGTTATAAACATATATTGTAGACATTTCATTATTCCACAGGCAGTTATGCTTTGACTAGCACATCTGGACTGGGTGGCCACAGAAAGTACTACAGTAAAAAGGGAGCGGCCCCCACTCCCACAATGTCACATAAATATGGAGAGGGAATAGGGAATAGGAAGTGCCTTTGTTAGAAAAGATGGCTTCTAGGGGTGCCTGGGTGGCTCAGTCAGTTAAGTATCCGACTTGGTCTCAGGTCATGATCTCGCAGTTCATGAGTTCAAACCCTGCATCGGGCTCTGTACTGACAACTCAGAGTCTGGAGCCTACTTGAGATTCTGTGTTTCTCTCTCTGCCCCTCCCCCACTCAGGATCTGTCTCTCTCTGTTTGTCCGTCTCTCACTCAAAAAATAAATAAAACAAAAAAGAAAGGAAAAGATGGCTTCTAGTCCAGCTTCTAATACTGCTCTTCTCCCATTGAGGTCAGTGAGACTTGTGGTGTCAGCTTCTTGGTATGCAACCAAAAGAGAAAAGGAAATGAGTTTTCAAAGAAAATTGAATTTATCTCTTTTCACTGCCCCAAAGATTTAGTAGATGTTAATAGCTTAATATAGTTTTTATTAACTGAATTAATTTTTTAATGAAAAGAATTTAAATAATTATTTAAAAATATGGAGATATGGTGTCTTAACTCAGAGGTGTGAGTTATTGACATCATAATGGGGAAGATATGTAAGTAGGCTCTCTGTAAGTCTTCCAACCACTAACTATCAGTAACTGCCTACTATTTCATTTTCCACTGTTACATGTCAACATTTTCTTACTATTTTTAACAGCACCATTCTATAATAGCACCATTTTTATAAAATATACAATATTGAAAATAAGTGGAATATAACCCACAAGTAGTGTAAATACTTTAATATTTGGTTTTCTGCTATAGTAATGCCACATAATCAACAATTTCAAAATCTCAGTAATTTAAAGTAACAAATGATTATGGTTTTTGCTCCCAAGTCTGCAGGTTATTTGGGTTAGCCTCTCCTTCATGCTGTGGTTTACCTGAGCTTGACTCCTGGCTGTGGGGGTGAAGTCACATCTGATCCACTTTCTTCAATCAGTGGCTACTCAAGGTATGTTCTTTTCATGGTGCAAGGCAGAAATACAAGGGAACAAGTCTTTGAAAGGACATCTAAAACCTTTGCTTGCCTCAATATGCAAGCATTCCACTGGTCAAAACAAGACACATGGTCAAGCTCAATATCCATTGGCTGAGTGGGAAAATGTACTCTATATTATAATAGGAATTGCAAAGTCATATGGCAAAAGACATGGGTGTTTATTTCTTTAACATTAACAGCTAAAGAGTTTGGAGTAACAATCCAAATGAAAAATATCAAAGACAAATAAAATAAAAAAACTAAACGTGAATTTTATCATGGACACTTCAGGACAAATATGATATTCTGAATCAGCAACATATTAGACATTACATACACGTGCATACTTTCCTCTACAGCAATTCTAAGATTTTATAATTTCCTTTTATAATTAATTATTTTAGTTAGTAGTAACTCTTAGTGATAGTACAATCTGGGGTCACCTGACCTAGAAATCTTCAACATGTGCATGTGATGAATATTTATTGTATATAGCTGTCAAGCATCTTTTCCTCCTTTTTTGGTAACTGTGCATCACCTTCCTATTAAGAAACCACCTGGAGGCCATGTTTCACCCATTCTGTGAAGACACAGCTGACCTCATATCTCATCTCCAGGGGTAAGAATGTGATCTATGCTGATTGTTATCACATTCCATTCCCCTGTCACAATGTTTGGGTTCTGATAAGGCTTACAAATGAAGCCAAATCAGTTAAGACTCATCCGTGGGTCTTTGGCTTAAACTGTTAGGAAAAAAGTGCTTACTTTTTTCTCTGAGTTTGCAGACCTGGTAGAATGTAAGCTTGACAGTGTGTTTGAACAGCTTTGCTACTGCATGAGAAAAGCCTGCCTGAGAATATAGCCAAGACATAAGAAGGCGGAGCCAAGAGATGGACAGAGATAATGTTTGAGCTCCTAATTCCAGTCTGAAGTCATCTGTGTATGTGTACTTCCAAGTTACAAAACTAACACATTTTCATTGTGCTTGAGTCATTTTGATTGTGTTTGTCACTTGAAATCTATACCATTCATACTAACACCAGTTGCGGGCTTTTCTTCTGCAGTCCTTCTCCAAAATGCCCCATTTCTGGACTCACTTATATCACCTTGCTTGCACACACATGTCCCCACATCTTTCAAGGATCCTCTACTTTCTTATAATCTTAATTTTTCACTATATCCTAGATGCATAATTCATTTGTTATTTTTCCTGAAAGAGCAGAGTTGCTGAATTAAGTTGCTATTTAACCAGCATTTTTGTTTTCTCATTTAAGCATTCATATTAACCCCCAGATCTCAGTGAAAATGTGTCCCAAGTTTTATATATTTCATCGTATGTCTTAAGACTCTGACTATACCTATTACTGTGCCATTCGTTTCCTTCAAAGGAAGGAAGACTTCCCTTCAAAGTATACTAAATTCTCTGGAAGAACAAATGCCATATCTCATGGATGAATGTATTCTTGTAAACCATGTGACACCTGCCATTTTTCTCCTTTGTATTTATGGCTTCGTCAGTACCTGTTAAGCTACAATGTTAAATTGTCTTTTGACCAATATAGATTGCCAACCCCTTCCTTGCTGATGCGAAGCCTCTTTGTAAAAAGGCCATGATGTATTGAAGCCATACTTCTATGCCAAAACCACTAATAGAGCTTATGTACTTACTGATGGATGGAAGCTCTTGATATGCCAAAGCCTTGTTTTGAATTCCTTTCCTCCAACAATGACATGTTGCTTGAGTCTCAAATCAGTGTTGCCTTTTAATTCAGATATATCACAATGATTATCAATTTATATGCATAGTTTAATCTATGGGAACTTGTGAAAAAAAATTTGAAAGATGGAGGCAATATTATGGTACTCAGAATTACTCTGATCCCTTAAACCTTCGATCAGGTTTTGCCTTTCTTTCTATGACTACTTGCCTCAAGGTTCCTTGATTTCTTGGGAGGGAGAGGAGACTTGTCCCTTGCAGTCCTTCATTGGTGGAATTCTACATTATTACAGCTTCTGATCATGTTGGGAATCCCACCACAAAAAAATAAAACATTTAAGATTGGATACATTGGGTTCATGAATTCTTATAGGCATTAAACTTATAAACTAACTTCTAAGATACAGCTTCATTATCTCATCTTATCCTCAGAACAACAAACGATTAGATCAATGCAGGTTAACACTACAGAAGCTTAACACTAAAATAGAATGGGGGTATATCTTTAGGCAAGCAGGAACACTTCAGAAGTCTCAGTGGATCCATCATTCTCTGTTAGAAATTAGAGAGCTATTAGAATTATTTAAATCATCAGACTTATTCTTTGGTTCCTTTTTTGACTATCTGGGATGGTTATTTTGGACTCACTTAAGCACCTAACTCTGCTTCAAGCCCCTACCCTTGAGCACATACATATAAATAATTCTGGGAATTGACTTCTTGTTTCACTTATTTACTTTAATGTATTTATGGGTTAGCAGTACTGTTGTTACAATATTTAAATGCATAAATCCTTATATTTTGAAATATACTTTAACTCAGTACTGTGATAATTATTAACACTTAATAATTTATCTTATTTAAGTCTTTTGCAATGATACACCAATAGTTTCCAAACTTTTGTTCCTATGAAATTCTGTGAGAGAGGAAACTAAGTCAGGAAAGATGTGACAGTAAAATACTGTCCCTGGGGGGCTTTCTCAGATGCTCTATGGTGCAGTTGTGGACTGAATAAGTTAAAGTATAAACATCTTACATCTGGTCAGATTTTGGCCCTGTGATAGTGTCATAATGGAAGAGAAGCCACAGAATTACCTTCTCTATATTTAGTGTCTTGCTGTAGCTGATATTCTGTGGTTGTACGTATTATTAATATCTATTAACCTCAGAATAAAATGTCATATTGAAATTGAAAAAGGATGTTGGGACTGTGCTAAAAGATTGCTTTTTCAGATGCAATGAGATGTAAAATAGAACCTCTGTTTCCAAGTGGTACATTTTATAAGAATTGGGTGTTACTTTAGGAATTCTGCACTATTCTATCTTAAGCACTTGTAATCTATCAATGCCAGTCCTTTCTGTAATTTAATGTGGGATATTTCCTTTTCTCTTTCTCTCCTTTTTGACAAGTGTTATTTTGCTGAAGATTTTCTATTCCCCTTCCAAGAAAAAATCATTTTCTTTTAACTCATTGAAAATAACATTTGGAGTCCATAGAGATTAATGAGATGGTACATATGAAAAAGTACCAATATTATAATTAAAATATACTAATTATTAGAAAAATGATAATAAAAAGATATTGTTTAACTATATCTAGCACATTTTTGACAGCAGTACCAGGCACACATATTGGAAGAGTGACTACTACCAGCAAGATAAAATGCTAGGTATGAAAGGTAAAAACATAAAGAACTTGTGGCCTTTGCTCTGAAGAGCCTGTCATTTACTGAAATCTGGCCAGCATTTACCTGAAGATCAGAGAATTTTGCATCTTATTCCCTGGTTAACCCAAATATATATATATATATATATACACACACACACACACACACATACTATATATTGAATTAACCTTCATATATGTGTATATACATATATATATGTATATCTATGTGTATATATATATGTAATTAACCTTTATATATATACATGAAAAATAACTATTTTACTATAAGGTCTTTTTTTACTATGTATATGTAAGTCTTTATTACTGTATATTGAACTAACCTTTACATATATATACATATATATATATATAATCAACTATATATTGAATTAACCTTCAATTGTTAATATTAACAATTCAATATATAGTTGATTATACATATAGTTGATTATACAGTTGAATTAACCTTTATATATATATATGAAAAATAACTATTTTACATATATATATATATAAAGGTTAATTCAATATACAGTAAAAAAGACCTTATATACATATATAGTAAAAAAAAGATCTTATAGTGAAATACAGTTATTTATATATATATATGTATGTTATATATATATGTTATAACATATACATGTGTTAATTCAATATACAGTAAAAAAGACCTTATATATATATAGTAAAAAAAGAGCTTATAGTAAAATACAGTTATTTTTCACTATATCTTTGAAATGAATTAAATTCCTTATTGCTGCATATAAAATTTCACACTGTAGATACTAATTTAAAATAGTTAAAAGTGAATCTAAAGTTTAGTCCTATTTTTCCTTTATTCACTCTTATATTTGTCTATAAATTATTTACAGATAGCATCCAAAAATTATTTAAAAATATAAACATTTGCTTTTCAAAAGCTTTTTGCATATTTTTGAAGTTTACATAGGGCCTTTGTTAATTCCAAATTTTTAAAAGCTTATTTACAAAAATATCAAATACATGAGTTTGAAGCAAAATCTTGTTTTTCAAAACTTCTTTAAATCACAGAAATTTTAGTTATAGCAGTAGAAAGCCTTTAAAACAATGTTTCATTTTCTTATGTTGGGAGATTACAAAGATATTTCTACTCCAACCACCCTCTTTGGTGAAAACAGAAAATAAAAAGAGCAAAACTATAATTCCATTCATCTCTAATAAAACTATGAGATTTCCAGAGCAAATAATAAACAAGAACCTGAATAGAAATGCCAATCAAGTGGAATTTGGAATAATCTATAGAGGAAATAGTACCAACAGATTTTGTGCATGGCACAAACTTCTTAGAAATATGGTGGTCTCTGACCTTAAAAATCTAATCAAAGATTTCTTTCTTTGAACAGTGAGCTACCAGGGATTTGGAACTATACACAAATCCTATTCCATAGTGTGAGAATAGAAAAGCCACAAAGAAAAATTATTTTTTCCACAGAAGTTATTAAGAGTTGGAAGTAGTAGCAAAGAATATGTTTGATGATCAGCCAGATAATTGTATAAAGTCATTTAGGGCTATCTAGAAGTAATTAAAGCAGTTGACTTGAAATCTCT